GGAGCTCGGTTTCTTCACTTCCTGAAGCTTTAACTCTCTTAGCCCCGCGACCAACGGTGCTCCTATCGACTGCACAGCTTCCATACACAGCACACCAACGTTTATGAATGTTCACCACCGTTTCTTTTTCAGCAACAAGGAATTCAATTACAGCTCGTTGCTTGTACCGAGAGTCGTTCACAGACGCCATTTTAACAGTTCACTACAGCTCCGCTATCGGTTGGAATCATTTGAAACTCCGTACACGAACGCGGGAAACATCAAATCTCAAGCATGTAAAAGTACACTTTTCTATCTTCATTATTGGCTGAGAAAAAAAATGTGGGGCATTACTTAATGAGCGACCCTCGTACATGAACATATGTTTCAAACATTGTTTTCTTTCTTCTTTACCAATTCAGTTGTTTATCAGAAATTGATTGTTGATGACCTCAACTTTGTATAAACTGATCAAATAATGCAATCCATTGCCTATGAACATAAATTAAATATCTGATATAGCAGTGTTGGGGCAGACAAGCAAAAAATGTTGGAGATTACAGGTAACTTGGTTGGAAGAAGGAGAAATTAATATGAACGGTGGCAGAAAACTCTTGTAAAATTTCCATTTGCATAAATGTAAACGGTTTTGTGAAGCACAAAAAAATTAAAGGTTAATACTCAACTATATTTACACAGCTCATAGATGCTAAAACTAAATTTCATTTTGCAGATTTTTTTTTTGGTTTTTATGGCAATGAGTTCAAAGTTGGCTGTCTTCTGGGTGTGGCGCCATGTAGTCTGGTAAAAGTTTATCAATGTTTTATAGGTCCTTGCTGGCTCCGACATGAGGGTGTCATTATAAGTAAGTTTGTGTAGTAGGCGCAGTCTGTGACACAAATTTATAAAATGGGCCGGTAATGTTATACAATTCAAGGAAGCCTACCTTTGTACTACGGATTACTAACCAAAATCCGAACTGTATAAATTTTGTTTCAAGCGTTAAAATTATATTACTGAGTAGAACTAACTACAAAGAATTCAACTATCCCCTCCCCTCCACCACCTTCAACCCGTTCAACATAGAGTACAATAGCATCAACTATCGCCACCATGTTTTCCTGTGTGTTGTGTTTAGGAATCACGCGTTACCAACATTAGAATGAACAGAAGTGTTCGTCGTTTGTGGTTAGAATTGTTAAGGGTGTAAAGCTTAGCCATGAATCTGGAACTCTTGGGTAAAGAGTTTTATTTGATATGCTACACAATCTTTTGGTGTTCTAAATGATATATATATTGTATGTAACATAATCCTGCTTTTTTTCAGAATCATTTGGACAGAATTATCCAGAGGTGCGTAGAAGGCTTACGTAGTGTATTATTTGTATGTAGTGGATTGCTTCAGTGAAAAATATCAGGTATACAAATTAGAACATTGCATTTATAGGAATATCTCGGCCTGAGAGGAAACGACTAGTACGTACGTAACATTTTGTTGATTTTAAATCCCTCCTAAATTCACTACCTTTGTATTAGTTAGGTATAGGGTTCAAAACTTGGCCCAGAGACCGTCTGCCCTGACAGGTTTTTCTTGGTTTTTCCCATTCCTTACAGGCAAATGCCAGGATAGTGCCCTGAATTAGGCCATGACTTCTGCCCGTGCAAGGTCTAGTTCATTAATCATCATATCGTTCTGTGTTACATATTCTAAACTGCTGGTGAAGTATGGTTTCATGGTAGCATTTATGTTGTCGCCAGTAAATTCAGTTTCTAATACTTACGGGCAATCACTGGATTTGAACCTGAGGTCACACATACGTTACACTGATTGTGTGGAGAACAGCCCTGTGTTAAATAAGCAGTGTTTGATGGCTGATAAGGTTTTGGGTCTCAGGCTTGGGAATTAGGCTTACAACCCATTATAAAAGTATTATTTTCGTTTTATGAAATGCCATAATGGTCCTCAGGAATTTGACAGATTCAATAGTATGATCTAAATAATATAAACAGCATGAAATTCTGAACTTAGAATGTCTGGAGTCAGCACACGGTATGTTACTTGAATTCAGTAACTAGAATTTGTGAGGTCTGGCCCAGAGACAGGCTGACATGATTGAAGTTTTTCATGTTCTTTTGGTGCCTTCAGGAAAAATATAGAATAGTACCTTAAGCCATGACTACTTCCCTCCATATCTTTTACAATTCATTATTCATAAATCAACATATCCTGTAAGTACAAGATACATGTATAATCTCCATGTGCCAAAAATTAACCTCTGTAAATATCAAAAAGGAATTTACTATACTGTAATTAAACTATTCAGTAATCTTCCCCCAAGAAGTCTGAATTATGATATAAAGAAAGTTAAGCCAGCGCTAAGAGTATCTCTTATCCCACTCCTGCATAGAAGAACCAAAAATTCACAGCTATTATAAATATATGTAAGCAGTAGTAATGATGCTTTTTTTTATGTAATTTGCTGTAATATGGTAGTTGACTGCAAATCACCATCATAACTATGTAATTTGTATTTGTATTAGAAACACAAACTGTACTTGTGCTGTGGCATGTTCAGCATCCTTGGCTTAGGCCTGTGAAGGATATGTGGAATGTAAATAAATTCTATTCTAAACTCTGATGGTATGCAATCTGAGCTACTGAAAGCCTCATTAAATATGCCACAAATCAATAAATAAATAAATACATCAGTGATATGTGTAACATTGTCAGAAATACATTCATGACATCAGAGATGCATACTCATAGCTATTTTATGTTGCAGGAATTTGATGGTGCTTTAGATTGTATATCATTGGCTGTAACATGTGCATTCAACAAACGAGGAACGTTGCTAGCGGTCGGATGCAATGATGGTCGTATTGTTATTTGGGATTTTCTTACAAGAGGAATAGCAAAAATTATTAGTGCTCATGTGCATCCTGTATGCTCATTAAGGTTGGTATTATGTTTTGCAGGAGGCATGAGAGATTACAGTAGTTGATTTGGGTTATGCTAGATTTGCACTCAGTTGAGTAAGAATAAGTTACTAATTCTTTAACAGATTTGGTGATAGATGATGATGCTATATGCTTGGATGCTAAACTCCTTGAATATGTGATTTCAGAGTTTTTTCTAATAGCATATCAGAAAATTGTAAACACATGCATTTTTCTTTTGTTTGAAGCTGGTCGCGGAATGGACACAAGCTTGTGAGTGCATCCACAGACAACAATGTGTGTATTTGGGACATCCTTTCGGGTGAATGTGAGCAGAAGTACCGATTTCCCTCACCGATCTTGAAGGTGAATTTAAATTAAATCATTCACGGCTTAATTTATTTATTGGTTTATTTAACAGTAAATGACCAACTGCATTGAATGGAATGTCAGCTACATACAGAATTTCATTCAAAATTCTTTTGTAAAGGTTAACCTTATACGTAGATGAAGCTACTGGGTAACATCATCGTGGGTTTTGATGTAATTGATCAACTTCTGATTAGATATTCTTCATTTCTTGGATACTGGAGAAAAAGTGGGAATACAGTAGGACAGTATATCAGTTGCTTATCACATCAAAAATAACCTATGATTCAGTTATGAGAAAAGTATTATATAACTTTCCCATTGACTTTGGTACACCCTTTAAACCAGTTTGGCTAATTAAATTATGTTTATACAAAACCTATAATAAAACTCATGTAGGCAAACACTTGTCTGATGCAACTTTCTGTTAAGAATGGCCTGAAATATTGAAATATTTTATTGCAATTGCTTTTCTACTTTGCATGAGAATAAATCATTAAGAAGAAGAATAAAAAGAGGATCGTAACTAATGAGATGTAAAATTACAGAGCAATGATAGAAATTATAATTACTGTTAATTTAATTCTTACACAATTCTTTGTTGTCAGGTTCAGTTCCACCCACGTAATGACAAAATATTTTTAGTCTGTCCGATGCGTCATGCAGCTGTCTTGGTTGATACTGATGGAGACCACCAGATTGTACCACTTGATGATGATGTAAGTACAACTGCAAAGTGATGTGATGAACATTAATATAAATTACAGTCTAATATGTGGACATAATACAAGATCTCTGCTTTTTTTGGCACTTCTTGGTTCACTTTGTCTTTCTGACTGTATTTCACAAGTCCACTTTGTACGAACAAATTTAATATTATAGTGCTTAAAATTTATCGTCTCAGTTATAGGTTGGAAACATGAAAGATTCTGTTACTCTGTTTTGTAATTCCTGTAACAGTTAAAAAATTCAGATTAATGAGTAAAAGAGTAAAGCTGTCCTGCCTGCTACACACCATATAGGCACTTGGGGGAGGGGGTATAGCTCCTTCATATACTTAACCTCAGCACTAGATAGGGGTAAGTGGTCAGCGTAATGTGTTAACTGTTATAGCTTTTCACCTTTCCCACTACTGACATTGGGTAAACAACAATAATTATAAATAATTGTATTTGCAAGATTGTGTTATGTGAACTTATCCCATTTACTAATAGTCTGGTACTAGCTTTCTGATATAGTATTTTACATATGACATAGCTGCTTTATCACTCACAATCATCCTTGCATTTAAAGCTGTTTAATCTGTATTGTTTAGAAATAGCTATTCAGTAAAGTAAGAAATAAAATGAAACTATACAAACATAATCTGTTGTCAATAAAATGTGTAAATTAAAGTGAAATTAACCAAACCAAATAAAATTTAAAAATTGTAATCTGGTGTTGATATTTTCATTGGAAATAATCTCTCCTCTCATGCTGTTTCATTAGTTCCATAATCTCCTTACAAACCATGCATATTCCTAGTTACTGCGGGTTGCTGGTTACATTAGTTTAGACGCCTCACAGAGATTAAATAGATCACAGAAGATTTCTGTCTTCTGGGTTGTTGCGCTGTGTAGACTGGTCGATTCACAGAAAGTCTTTGTCCTTGCAAAGAGTGGTCTTAAATGTTCCATTGTTTTTTGTTCCTCCAGCATTCTGTAGTTAGATATGGCATTACTGAATAATATTACATGCACATTTGGAGCGTCTGAAATCAGAAAATTTCTCAAAAGGTTTATAATGCATTATACGGTTTTTCTGACAAACCAAGTCAGCAAGGACTTTGAAATTAAGTTATTTAAAGGTTCCATGTAAGGTGCTGTCTGTGGGACAATGAGAGCATGCAGATTTAGATATACAGTATACTGGGTGTTCAAAAGTAATGCAACCCATATTAAAATACTTATTGGTGGTTGCAATTGAATACATTTAGAATGAATTAATAAAAACACAGTACTGTTGTGACTATGCAAGTACCCACGCAGGTCACGTTATGTAAACTGCTTGCGCCACTCCATCACTTGTCTTTAAATGGTCAAATTGCAAGGATGTCTTTTTCACAAGTGAAACCCAGTGTTCATTGCCAAACAGTATCTGCCATCCTGTTCTTACCTAACATGCAAGAATGAGTTTAGGGATGTATTTCCTGATTCTCTCAGCCAAACAAATTGACAGTGTCTTGTCTGGTAAATCATTTCCATGGCACAGGAAGCATGCAGGAGAGAAACTGTTCTGGCCAACCTTTGGTGTTAATTGCAGATACAAGAGTGAAAATGTGCATTGCTGAATGTGGTGGACATTCCAACACTTAATATATTTTTTTTTAATTTCAGTGTCATTTATTTTTTACAAATAGAATGTGTGACGAATGGGTTATGTGACTTTTTATCACTGTGTTAATAACAGACTTGAGCCATGTAAATTTGTTGCAGCAGTCAGATCTGAACATTGTTGCTTCCTTTGATCGTCGGGGACACTATGTATATACTGGCAATGCAAAGGGGAAGGTTCTTGTTCTGTCAACCAGTGATCTAGTCCTCAAGGCTTCATTTAAAGTGACACAAGGAACAACAAGTGCAACGGCAGTGAAGAGCATAGAGTTTGCTAGGAGAGGAGAGTGAGTGTACAAGTATTGTCAATGTATATAATTAAGGGGTGCCAAGTCATCTGATCAGATAACATATTGGCCTTCCTGTCAGTAATATTGTACTTTTATGTCATGTAAATTTGTTGTTACTATCCATCCTATACCTTAGATTTAAAGATTACTGCATGCTCTGGACAAAGTATGTTATAATTTACTTTTTAATATTGTCAGACTGTTGGGAATAGGTAGTCAAATTGAAGGTAAGTGACAAAGAAAAATTCCTGGTTTGTGAAGAGTACATAATACTAGATATTGAGCCATGTGGACATGTTTATGACTTTATTTGAAATATGTGGTACCCAGTTTAATTTCTTTGCTGACTCACTGGCGCTCCTTACTGAAATTTTTGTGATCTTTATGATTCCGTGCACGTTACAGGATTGTGCTTTGAAATTGGCAATGGTTGCTTCCTCCTCCTCAATCCCTGGTGACCAATATGTGTATTCGTCTCATTCAGTGCTTAGTAACGTTAATTTAACATTTATCAATTCTGTGCTAGTTCAGGATACAGTCTGGTGGCAGGCTTTTGTGAATACGGTGATAACATTCAGGTTGCATAAAGAAAGTGGACTATTCTTTGACAAACTGAGTAACAATCTAATTTTCAAAGAATATACTACATCATAGAGAGTTAACAATGCTGTCATTGGCTCAGACTATATATTGTCAGATAAGTCATCTTTTGAAGTAGAAGTTCGTCTAAATAAGATTTAAGTATTCAGTCCACACTCTTCACCATTACAAAGATAAGGTTGTTTATGCTTTTCAGGGAAATAATTGCTGTTTACACCGAGAATCGTATGAAACCCATTAATACAAAGTGATTGTTAAAGTGGGTGGGACATACAGTTACCATTGGACTTCAAAAGGTTAACGACTGATAAGTTAGAAAGAGTATGGAAGGAGGCTGTTGTGTCCTAGTTTAGGGCATTATCCCTGTATTTTCCTGGAGGGACTGAGGAAGCCCACTGAATAAATACATGCTGCAACAACCAAGAAGATATTTATCTTCATATCATTCTGTTGTGTTTGCTAATGTAAGAAATGCATGAGAAGTGGAAAACTGTGGAATTAATTAGGAAATAGTTGTTAGTGGCATTGATTTCAGTTCTTTTCCCTTTCTTGCAGTTGTTTCTTGATCAACACGGCAGATCGTGTGATCCGAGTTTATGACAGTAAGGAGGTGCTGACGTGTGGTAAGGATGGTGAACCAGAGCCTATTCAGAAGCTGCAGGACTTAGTTAATAAGTGAGCAGTTGTTATAAATATTTAAGTTTGCAGTTAAATATTAAAATACTGTTACCGCAAGTATATATTGCATTAGTTTGCCAATTTAGTATTTATAAAAGGGGGCTTGGCAATACAGGGATAAGGCACTCTCAGAATGCCATGAATATAGAAAGACTGATTCCAGAACTAAATGGCAGCACAAGCACGTGAGTTATAAATTATGCTGAATTAAAATTGCATGTGATTAGAAGCCAAATGGCAGTTCATAATTTGTTGAAAATGCAGTGCAAATTTTTGTGAAAGAACTTAATTTTGTCATAAAAGAGGTGCATGTAGTTTCATCACTTATTATCTGGTTTTGGATTTTAGTTTCATCCCTTCCAACATCTTTTCATCTCAGTGCAATCTGAATACCATCTTTCCAGGGTTTTTTTCTGTCTTGGCAGCCATGCTTTCTTAGAGTATCTTTCCCTTTTCATAATATATGGCCTACTTCTTTGAACCACTAACTACCTAACTAGATGGCTTACCAAACCCGAAGGTTCATCAGCTAATTAACCAAAGCCCTCCACTGGACCCTGTCCTGGGGCAACAAAATCCAGTCTCCTTCAACTCCTATCTCCCATAGATCCCTTTGAACCACTTAAAATGCCAATTTTGTATTTTATTTTAGCAGCTTCAAATCTAAAACAGTGCTTAGAGTTTGGTTTATATCTTTTCTTTTCATCTCAATTTTTCTTAAATACTTCTGTTAGAGATGTTGTTATTAATGCCCAGAATTCCCAAGTATTTGGCTGCCAGGCTGTTAATTTAGCTTGTCTAGTCATTTCACTTTTGCCTAGGAACCTTCTGCATAAAACCTTGCTAATTCTATTCTCTTATTTATTTCTTCCTGAGTTTTTTGTTGCTGTTTTTTCTCTAGTCTTGTTAATAACTATGGAGCAACTTTTATAGTAGTTAATTAATTATATACATCGTGTGTTTTAGAACTATGTGGAAGAAGTGTTGCTTCTCTGGCGATGGAGAATACATATGTGCAGGATCAGCAAGACAGCATGCTCTCTATGTATGGGAGAAGAGCATTGGCAATTTGGTCAAAATCCTGCATGGAACAAAAGGAGAATTACTCTTAGATGTAGTGGTGAGCATTGATTATGAATGAAAAATGTGGGTCCTATAAACTGTAAAGATACAAAGCATTGTGAAAGTAAGTGTGCAGTCAGAATTAAAGTTGAAAGAAAATGGTGAATGATAATATTATGAAGCTGTGGGTCACGTAATATATAATAGTGAATTTTTTGTTTGCTATACCATGTATTTAGTTAATTACTATATTTACCCAATTATAAGACCCTCAGGTGTAAGATGACCAGTCCAGAGGCAGACTTTAAAAATAATTTTATTAAATTGCTATGTACAGTGCTCCCACATAACAATGGCACATCTCTTCTTTCTGTTTTCCCCTATCAGTTATAATTCCATTAATGTTTTATTCCTAAATATACTACAGTCATTTGGTTGTCACTATCTTGGTTGTCCTTTGGGACATAATTTGTGACTGCTTACTTGGCTGAACTCAGAATAGTGTTTTGAGATTTTAGTCTTGTGCTTAAAGATGGAGATGACAGTTTCCTCAGGAACATTTGTAACCACTTCCAAGACCACTGATGTAAAACCTGAAAGAAAACTTCAAAACTCATTCATAGTAAAGTTAACAAAATAAAGAAGATTGAAAAAAAAAGTACATACAGAATCATAAAAAACATCTATCTGTGAATTCTCATTAACAGAGGCCATTTTAGATATTGAGGCATGGAAAGGATAGGTCACAGCTTTGTACTGGTGCAACATAGGATCCAGTGGTGGACTTTCGATGATTTCATAACAGAGAATTTCTTGAAGAGTTGAATAATTATCACATGCTTTGTGCTACAGATTTAGTTACCTAATGTAATAGTTTTCTGATTATTGACTACAATTTTAATCTTTCTTGTGGAATGAGACCGACAGTTTCATAATAATTAGATATATAGTTATTGAAGTTTCCTTGCAGTTATGAGCTGGGTATTGCTCCAAGTGAGAAACAGAGATTCAAGTACTTTTATGTCTAATATTCCAGTGGCACCCAGTGAGACCAATTATTGCATCAATCTCAAGTGGTGTTGTGTCTGTGTGGGCTCAGAATCAGGTAGAGAACTGGTCAGCTTTTGCCCCAGACTTCAAGGAACTTGACGAGAATGTGGAGTATGAAGAGCGTGAATCAGAATTTGATCTGAGTGATGAAGATAAATCTGTTGAGCTTGGCCCTGAAAAACAGGAGGATGACTTGGAGGTAAAATGAAATCCAAAATCTACTTAACCCCTGCAACTCAGCTATCTTCAGAATGGCCACCTATGTTGATATATTGTTATGCTTATGAGTGTGTTAAACTGTTACTTGTTTTTCCTTTACATTGTCTCATGTATAAACCAATTTTTTCAGTGACATGTGTGTTAGCATCTGCTCTTTACTTTATGAGGGGTCCACAATGGCCGCACGGTCTGAGGCGTGGGCCTTGTGCCGCTTGGTCGCTGTGACCGTGGGTTCGAATCCCACTCAAGCCATGGATGTTTTTCAGCGTTTTTCTGTGTTGTGCTGTCCTGTGTACAGGTAGAGGCCTTGTGACGGGCCGATCCCTCGTCCAAGGAGTCCTACCGAATGTCTATAGATCAAGTCAACAATAAGTTGGGATCCGCAGTGCTCAGGCACTTGAAGAACGGGTCGTTCCCAGTATCTAGTATCTTTACTTTATGAATTGTTTATTGTATCCTTTATTGTTACTGGCTGGCACAAAATCTTTATTATTTAAAGTCAGAGTTTGTGTACTTACACTCCCAGGAGGTGGTAGTACTTTGCACATGGTGTGCCCTAACACCTTACAGGAACAGGGGAGAGTATTATTTACTCAGAAATTCAACTTATTGCACTCTGTGAAATAATGTACAGTGTGTCCACAAAGTCCCTTCGGGGTTTTGAAAAATTGTGGCTTGCAAACAAATTGGGTAGCCACATGCGGTTTGCGGCAGATTACAGTTAAACTCTGGAAGATGGTGCCCCACCTCATTGGGGTCTGCAGGTACGCACATACCTAGACAGGACATTTCCAGGAAGATGGATCGGCAGAGATGGTCCAATGCCTTAGCCTCCACGTTCACCAGACATAACACCACTGGATTTTTTTCCTGTGGGATTATGTCAAGTGCAATGTGTTCCGAACACCAGTTAACAGACTTGATGACCTGAAGACCCGTATCAGGAATGCGATCTCGGCTATTCCAGTGGACATGCTCCACAGAATATGGCAAGAGCTCGAATATCATCTAGATGTTCTCCGTGCTACCAAGGGAGCCCACATAGAGGTCTACTGAGGTCAGTAAAAAACTTACAGACTTTCACTGTAATCTGCCGCAAACCGCATGTGGCTAGCTCAATTTGTTTGCGCGCCACAATTTTTCAAAACCCCGAAGGGACTTTGTGGACACACTGTACTACATAGCACACTGGACACACTTTTCTGAAAGTGCATGCCTACTACATTCTTTGTGGTGGTATAACATGTGTAAACAATCACACTCTATTAGAACCCACATTGGTTACATATCCAAAGGGCCACACTGGATGGCATTTGTTGACATATCAGTGTTGAACACTGAACATTGGTCACAGCAACCACTGATGATCATACTAAATTCCTCTAATTTGATGACAATAATTAATTGTAGCAAGCAGTAACCATTGCAACAAGGCATTTGAAATTGCGGGGCATTGTAGTCATGTATACAAATGTAATACAGGAGATTTTTGGGGTTAAAAAATATTAACCCTGTGAATGCAAATATTTGCAACAATCTTTTAAAAATAAATGTAAATGATTCTGTATGAAGTTTGAAACTGTGCCATCTGTCTTTGCATTTTCAGCTTTACCTGTAATTACTATACAGTATTTTTTCTCCAGTACAAAATTCAATAGTGCTTTAAGTTAATTGTTGCTGTTCAGGTTGATGTATCAACAATAGAACCGGTAGCTGCTTTCTGCAGTTCAGATGAGGAGACTGAAGATATAGGAGCTCTCCAGTTTCTGCCAATTGCTCCTGAGGTGGAGGACCCAGAGGAAGGATGGGGTGCACCTCCTGGAACAGCACCCCTTTCTGACATGCAACTAGATGACAAGCAGCAGCGCAGCAATAGCTCCAAGGAAAATAACTCTCCTGCGCCAAAACGAAGGAAATTCCGATCTTTTGACATTCAACTCCATGGTGCACCTACTGATGGTTAGTATTTCAAGACCTGCACAAGGTTATTGGAATTGCAGCAAATGGACATGCCAAATTTGGACTACAGTGGCCCAATTTAAATTGATTTTCATTAGTGCCATAGGTAATGTGTCTATTATATGTTAGATATTCTGCATCACACATACTTGAATGACTGAAACAGTGTCAGGACAAATAGTTTATTTGCTGCCCTATGTTGGGCAAAATGTGAGATGTTTAAATTTAAATGAAAGAATTCTCTATTAATGTTTGTTACAAGCACTGTGTTCTCAAACATATAAATAATAAGGGAGGAAAGAAGTATAAATATGAAGATACTAAATTAAATACAGTAGAACTTTTGTAAGCCTGGGAACTAAGTTTTCACCATCTCTGATGAAATTTCTACTTGAAATTTACAGTATTTTAACTCGCATACTGAACAGAGACATCATACTAAAAGTATATTTTTATGGAGCTACAGGAAAGATGTTCTAGAAGTCGGTCCCCATTGAGCTGCTACTAATGTTGCAACACATTTGAGTTGAGAAGCATTAAATTTATGTGCAGAATGTATGGCTTTTGTATTAGTTCAAATTGAATGTTATGCCCGCCTTCTCCAGTTATTTTCTCATGTAATAAGTTTTGCTTTCCACCTTTGCCTTAGAATATGTCATTAAGATGGCCCAAGAAAACAGGCTGTGACTGGAATTGAATGGGACATACCAGTTTCTGGTCAATGCTGGTGATGTTAATTTACTGGGAACGACCCGTTCTTCAAGTGCCTGAGCACTGCGGGTCCCAACTTTTCATTGGCTCGATCTATGGACATTTGGTAGGACTCCTTGGGCGAGGGATCAGCCCGTCGCAAAGCCTCTACCTGTACACAGGACAGCACAACACAGAAAAACGCGGACAAACATCCATGACTTGAGTGGGATTCGAACCCACGGTCCCAGCGACCAAGTGGCACAAGGCCCACGCCTCAGACCGCGCGGCCACTGCGGACCCCAGAAGTTAATTTATTGGTCACAAATATAAATATAATAACACAATTTCTATTAGATGGTAGTAAGGAGGCTGGTCGAGAAGTTAATGTGGAGAAAACTATGTGTACCTCATATGTCTTCACCAGACTGTAAGACAAAATCATGATATAGAAACAGCTAATAAATCCTTGACAATTCTGTAGCGCAGCATCCCAGTGTGTAATCTTCAGATACTTGACGTTTGCTCTCTCACCCCTTTTTACACACACTTCCTAAGTGTTTATCGAACTTCATGTTTCAGACGTGTGCCATTTTAGTAATCAAAACATTTCATTTTACACACTTAATAATTTAGAAAATATTTTATATCAGTTGACTAACAAGAATGATTGGAATTCTTGGGTTTTAAAAACATGAGTGCAGGAACTATGTAGACACACTGAACTTGAAGATAGGTGCACGCATCCAAAATTTGTACTTCACTAAACACTTGGGAATTGTGTTTAAAAAATGATGAATGAACATATATCAAGAATCCTTGAAAAATGTGACGGAGTCCACATATTTGGAGACAACAATAACAAATAAAAAGTGCATCCATGAAGAAATTAAGAGCAGATTAAAACCCACAAATGCTTCCTACCATGCAGTTTAGAATATTTTATCTTCCTGTCTGCTATAATAAAATGTAAAAACACAGAAAACTAATTTTATCTGTTGTTTTGTGTGGGTCTAAAACATGATACCTCACATTTAAGGAAGAGCACAAATATAAGGTGTTTGAGAACAGGGTGTGGAGAATTGTTGGACTTTAGATATATATAGCATTATATCCCGTTCTTATTACAGGCATAAATTTAATCAGATCAAAGAATTTAATTCTTGCTGCACACACAAAATTGTTATTCTGGCTATGGTTGTGGAACATGTTTCTCCTTTATGGACAAAATACGCACAACTGGAGGATATTGTTTTAGAGTATTTCAAAAAAGTAAATCATTTTTTAAATTATTTTTAATCTGAGCAAGGGCCCCTGATTTTGTAATTTGCTCTTAAAGTCTTTACAGAGCCTGGAAATTAAATTGCATGAACAAGAATCTTGAAAGACATGTTGCCATGGCACATAAAATTTTCATGATAGAACCTAGAATCTTATATATATTAATCTGATGGCTTTGTATCTTTGCATGATTATGTAACATTTTCAAAGTCACGTGTGTGTGTGTGTGTGTGTGTGCGCGCGAATGTACACACAGTGAAAACCCCCATTTAATGTTCTTTAATTTAAGGTTTTCACTCATTGAATGAAAAATGTCAATTTCCTCCAAATTCATTGATCTCCAAATAAACCACAAATGGGGATTTGACTGTATTCAGAAACCTATATTTTTAGAAAATGTTTGTAGGCCTGTATATATATCTGTATGATATTATATGATTTGTTTCAGAACTTCACCCATTACTGAGCAACAGGGCCAAAGATAAACAACAGTCTGGAGGAAAGAAAGCTGCTGGTAGGCCACGGACTGACGACAGAAAACGATCTAAATGAATCAAAATTGAAACGTGTTTAATAATTTGTAACAGATTCTTTAATCTCGTGGTGGAACGCTTCAAGTCCTGCCCTGCTGTAGTGCCATGAAGATGCACATCGTGTACTGCTTACTCCAACATCATATGATGGAAATCTGAGGGAGTGTAACTGATGAATAAAATGTGAAAATACTACAGTGAACTTCAAAGGAAATATTGACATAATTGAATGTAGTTTAGACAAGAATTTTGAGGTTACTCACTTAATAAACTTTCCAAGTGTTTCTAAATATTGTTATAATGATTCCTATTAACTTCATTAGTAAGGCCACATCCAAGTCTGAATTTGTTCTGTGATTCATGATGCCACTCAGTAGAAAGTAAAATAGCAATGGCTTAAGTTTCCTCTCAAGACAGAATTCCAAAGTTCTTAAAAATGAAAGTAAAGGAAAATGCCATGTAGGAGACTGAGATAAAGATGGCAACAGCAGGTTAGAAAAGATGTTGCACATCACAAATTCATCCACCAGATCAGACTGTCAATCAGCAGTATTATACATGTATCTACAGAGAAATTCCTGACAAATGTTGAAATGCAGACTGGTTTGTTCATTGTGATGATGCATACCTTGTATGTCCAACATTTAATGCATGGAAACAAAATGGCTGTGGTCCTCCACCCTCCTTACTATCCATACTTGAGTCTTGGGCATTTTTGTTTCCAAAGATGAAGCTGTTGCTAAACTGCAATCAAAGGTTGTGTTGCATAATAACACTGACTTGTTCTTGATCATTTGTTTATGATAATGCAGTGCTGTAAAAAGTGGGCTAAATTGTGGTTGAGAAGTCAGACTGGTGAACTACTACTAGCAATTAATGTGTGTTAAGACTGGCGTACTTCCTGAAACTAGGCTACAGCACTGACAAAAAGAAAACTTCAATAATACAGCTTCAGTTGTCTTCATTCATTATGTTAATAGTTGATACACTACATGTGAGATTTGAGATATTTATTCATGATTGTGGTTTTATGGGTTATGGCACCCTATAATCATGGAGGTGGTTACCCATCTTCATTAATCTACCCTGATGATGGAGGTGAAAGTTGCTGTGAAATGTAGGAAACCACCTATAAGAATATATGACATCATCCACAAGATCACAATCCTGCAATTTTTCTGTAATTGTAAGGAATGGTTGACTCAAATTGGACAGTGGGAGCACTCCTTCATTAATTCATTCATTAAGACACATTTCAAATCATCTTATTCTGTTATTTCATTTTTTCTAGTGCAGGGATACATATCAATAAACACTTCATCACACATAAGAAGAGGAGTGGAGTGTTCATGTTAACTGTGTTGGCCTGAAAAGCAAAAATAAAGTCTTCTGTCTTACTTTCATGGTTCACTGGTATATCATACACTGGAACACAGCAGAATTGATCAGATGAATTGCATTATAAGCCAGCTAGTTAAGGTTTATGTTTGTGGCACTGATTCCAGAAGGGAACATTTTCATCACGGATCCCTTGTGCCCAAAACAATAAGAGCACTAGCATATGTAGTGAAATCATTACAGTGAAAATGTGTCCCACATTTCCTAACATTCAAACTACAAAGTACTGAAAAACTATGCACTGGTCACTATTGCTGGGAAGGTTAAAAATGCTTCTCAATTAAAGAATGGATCATTGTTGGTAGAACTGCACAATAAAAAGCAAGCTCAATTACTGTTAGAAGCTAATCTCCTCAGTTCATACATATTGAAAGACACATCCCTCATCCTGATTCTCTGGGCAGGATAACAGAGGAGGAAACAGTCTGCCTTATGTTTCAAAAGCTTGATAAGAGGGACCATATGGTGGACTTAGAATACCAAACACAGTATTCCTGACAGCAACCTGTGGCTGTCTTCTGCTGTCAATGGGATAATATATGTGATATGCCCGTCTTTACATCCCAGATTGTCGACGTCGCTATTTTCTATGGTTCCCTTAGCATGATACCATCGAATGCCGGCTACAGGTTGATTTTAATCACATGTCACACTGGACTTTGGGCAGCAGCCTTTCTTTCTGTACAGCCATGACTCATGGTGTAAGCCTACATTTCACGTGCTTGTGATACTACAATGAAGATGACTGTCTTCTGGTTTCGTAGCGCAGAAGACAGCCTTCGAACACACCGCCATGAAAACATCGTATCCCACAAGAAAGTAATGTTCCATTTTAACCTCTCCATTCTCTGCTCTAAGATATGTAAACTAGCAGCTTCATAGCCGGTAGCGTTACTATCACCTTTTCAGTAAAGACTCCGTGGAGTTTACTAATCTCAGCTAAATTCCCTTCGTTTTTTATTTTCAATTTCTGTAACAATTTATTACCAGCAAAGATAATTTCTACTGCATATATAATTTATAATGATGGTGTCGAATTCATTATTATAAATCCATGTCCGTATTCTAAAACATGTATTCATTTTATGTGTAGTGGGATGGGTTTACTTGAAAAGAACAATATATTTGAAGGCAGTGCATTTTCACATCCCGAAAACAGAACTTGTTTGCACGACAAATATTAACTAATGGGAACAGTTTGGCACACTATTTAACACAGATTAAGCAACCACATAGATTGACTGCAATGAAGATGACTATTCAATGTACATTTATGCACCTTGCGTAAAATGTTATTATGTGGTACAAGTTTTGAATCAACGGTATTTTAAAATGCATTGTGGGTTACATTCTGAAGTCTTTGTGGAACCGGGAATTGTGGGTAATTGTTGTTGATGTGAAACGGTTGAAGAATTTTATAGTAATTGTAATTGTTATGTTTATTTGTATAACGTTTCTGTGGACGTAAATTATAAGTACAGAAGACGAGTCAATAAAATGTAGTGTATTAGTTGTGCCTTCCGTATGTTGCGATAATGGTGTTAGTTTGGTTCTTGCGTATAGGCACTGGATTATGTATAAAATTTGTGTTTATCATAAGTTCAGAAATAGTATGCAAATTTGATTAGTCCTCAACTTCAAATGCTTCAGCATAATCTTCCACGGGATTTTGCTTGTATATAACATGTTTTCACAAAAGTTTGTAACTACAGAGATAGTCCATACGTTTTCGCGGCTAGAGTTCAATACTTCACTCCTGCATTTGGGGTGAGCAACGTCGAATGAGCGTTACACATCACCCTGAAGATGGCATTTGCAGTGTTACCCTTAACGTTGGATAATACTGAACATTCGACGCTGCTGACCCCCGAAAGCCGAAATTACACATTGATAAAATTGTTAACGGATAGGAGTGTCATTCCCGCTTTTTATTAGGGGTGTGAGGTCTTGAGAACAGCCCCTTTAAGGGCTTACATAATTATTTATATTTTCTGTAAGTAACTGGTATACTTTATGAAGTCAAAGCCTTTCAATTTTTTTTTTTTTAAATTTGTTTGTCTAGTCAGATTCAAGCAGGGAACCTTTAAATCAGAAAGACATAAAAATGGTTGGAAAATGAAAGGAATACCTGCTTCCTTCGTATTTATACCCTCCCCAATACAGTGATAATGTAAATGATAGTAATAACACTCACATTTAGCTCATTAAGAAAATGTTGCTGGACTGTGTATACCTTACAGACACATTACAATTACATGAAGCAAACTGTTTTCTGGACATTATCCATCGCCCAAGATTAAATAAATAAAATCAATAAAAATCACGACGTTTTGGAGATGGGAGTCTATCTCCGTCTTCAGGTAAAACCTACTCTGTTGGGCCCAATCGATAGAGCTAATCCCATTTCATGATGAACTTATAAACATTTTTAGTATTCTGTCTTATTGTAAATTTAGTACAGTTTGTTATTTTACATCAGAATCTTAATATTCTTAAGTTAAATATTTAATTTCAGTGCCCTCTGAAATGCTGAAGCATTTGTTGTGAGGACTAATGAATTATATCTCAAAGGATGATGAGAGGCCTTGATTATATTATCATTATTACTTTTATTATGCGTCATTAGCTCTGTGATTGTGTCTCATCTCATAAGTCTCCTTTTAAGCAATTAGACATCTCTATATAGTGCTGAGAATCTGTGATCATATTTGTTCAAACAAATAAGACATAGAAAAGTCAAATTTGTTCAGACAAGTAGAACTGAGCTCATATGCATCCTCATGAATGTGATGTTTAACATTTCCATTAATCTATGATGTTACTGAACTGCCGACTTCTGTGTTTACTGCATTATAGATCTCTTGGTGTTTAGGTGAATAGCACCTCTCCTGTATACCTTACTTAGAACTTTCATATGAAGTGTAAGTATGGCTGTTTCAACTGCCATGGATGATTTATGGAAGAGCAAGAACTATATATTTGTCCAGTAGTATGAATTTGATTAGTTCAGGATAGTTCTGCTTGTTTGGCATATGGCTGTTGTGTTCTCCAAAAAGCTGGCATCTCTTCATGATAGCTGGGAAGATGAGTACATCTTCATCCTGTAAGCAGTGTCCATCAACCCAGTATCTGCTTCAAAGTATGTAGTGAAAACACTGACGATGGAATGCAGTTGTATTGCTGTGGAGAGACTACTGCTGCAGAAAGGCATCCCATTACCGGCTCGTGATGATGGTTGATTTCATCTACAGATTCATGGCACTGCAGTGGATTTTCCGTTGGCAGCAGCATTCCGTCCGTCCGTTTGCCAAGTTGCTGCAACATGTGTCAAGCATCTTCGCGTTGCAATGACATCGTGTTCGGTTTTACGGAATCTGTGGTTCCTCGAAAGCCACCGACCACATTCGGAATTGAAACACGCATTTCAAAGAAGCCACATTATTATACCGTACCAGAAATGGCTTCAAGGCTGTTCGGTTTCCGTGCTTTGTCATCATTGCGACTTCGCATTATCATACCGTTCCAGAAATGGCTTCAAAGCTGTTCGGTTTTCGTGCTTTGGCATCATGCGACTGCTGTAAACACGGTTCGGTTCGTTTGGTTTTGTGATGCCAGTTATCGGGTGTCGTGGAGCTTTTCTTGAATTGAAATCCAAGCCCTTGAGATATGAGGAATCTAGAAATCGAGGTATGGATGTCAGTGCAATGTTGTTATAATCAAGGTAGGAGGTCCTTGAGCAATAGAAGGTATAAACTAAAAATGAGAAACTTTCAAAACATTTTACTTGTTTTAACTTGCTTGTCAAGAGAATGAGTGGTAGAGGATGGTATCATGCTTTATCTTAGGTATATAGTTATTTAGTTGTGCATATTAATAATCAATCTTGCCACAGAAGGAGGATAACTAATTCACATTCTTGCCCCAAACAATGCATATTATTAAGATGGCTGTCTTCTGGGTTGTCACACTGTATAGTCTGGTAGACTCGTTACTGCCTCCATCATCAGGGTGAAGACTGTCTGATGATGGAGGCAGCAAGGACCTCACAAACTCTGGTTAACTTCTGTCAGACTACACAGCGTTACAACCCAGACAACCCATCATTATACTCACTGGTGTGAGAACCTCAAATCCTACTTAATGCAGATTATTTTCAGTATACAGAGAGATGCTAAACTGTAATCCATCAAGAAGTGGTGTTCCCCCTTTTTGTGGCAAGATCTTCCATTCTCTGTTTTGTTTCTGATTTTTTTTTATATTTTAATCATATTACAAATTTAGTAAATCTGAATATTACACATTTTACATTGAGCTGCCTTTTATATTGCAGAGTTAATGATAAAGTGCATGCAGTTTCATATAATGTGAGGTTCAAGTACAGTATCTATATTAATGAGTGAAATCCTTAATGAAGTGATAGAATATTTCTTGGATCTTTACTGTAGTACTTCTATTTAACTCCGATTTCAGGATTTAGTTCAGTGTTAACTTCATCTGTGTTCAACATTCACACTTAATGTATGGTAAAACCACTCTTAAGTAACATAAATGTTAATTTTAATGTATTCTGGTTTACAGATGTACTGTAAATGTTTGACTAAGCACCAGGGCTGAAATAGTAATGTGGGCTTGAATTCGAGCTGGGTATTAATACAGATATTGCAATAGTGGTCAAATCTTATATTGCAGTCTGTTACTGGCACAGAACTTACAGGTCCAGAGTAGTCGGGAATGTACTAGTTATATTTGTCTTAGGAATCTGATTATACCAGTATTAACAACAGATGATTTTTAATGAAATGATCTAGTTTTTCATACATTTGTTAATATATCCTAATTTAAGTATTTTATTATATATTTAGTTCTAGCACTTAAAGTACATCATGGGACATTGCAGGTATTGTAATCACCAGGGATGATGCCGTTTGAACATTCATTACCATAAAGATTATGTCTGCTTGAAAAGAGACTTACAGTGTGCCATTAGAAACTAAGTCCTTTATTTCCCAGGAAAATTGGTTTAGTAATCTTATAAAATATTCTATTATTCATATTATGTATTAAATGTTTATTGTTAGGAAGGGACATTGCAAATTCGAATGTTCTATAAAACATTGAAGGACTCTTGCTAAACTGAAATGTCTTCAACCGTCCACAGTATAATTCAGACAAATGAATACGTAATTTCTGCACTTCTGACCAAAGATGCTTAGGCTGAGCTGTGGAACAGTTGATTTACAGAGGCTATGAAAATGTGAACACAAGCAGGAGTTCATGTAGTTCTGTAGAACAAAATTCTAAACCTGGTTCTACTTTGTATTTGGGAGGTCCTAGACTTGAATCTCAAACTAATGACTGGCTGCCCTGACTCGGGTATTTCTCTGCTTTTTTTATAGTCCTTCAAAGCTGGGATAGAATCTGAAAATAATGTGACTGCTTTCTTCCACAGTCTGTTCCGTTCATCAGTTGCAGTCATCTTGCCATTTGACCTTGTATAAAGTTGACAAGGCTTTAAACTAGTAGCTGTTTTTTGGGAAAATACTATGCTGAAGTTGACTGTCTTCTGGGTTGTAGTGCTTTGTAGTCTAGTAAACGTTTACCAGCATTTCAGAGGTCCTTGCAAAGACAATGGTAAACTTTTACCAGATTACATGGAGCTACAACCCAGAAGATAGTCATCTTCAGACTCACCACTGTGTAAATCTCATCCTAAATATTATGCTATTTATTGAGTTCCTGTAATATAAGGCCACAGACTTGCCATATATTTGAAAGCTCTCTAAAGTAAGCAGTCTGATGTTTGAGATTTGAGGTTCTCGTGGCAGTGAAGGTGATGTTCTTACAGGTTGTGGTACTGTGTTTGCTCATAGGTAGATGCCAGTGTTTCAGAGAAGTGACAGTATCTACCTGTGTCCACATGGCATCACAATCCAGAACATCATCAAACTGGTATTTGTATGCCTTCAGTGTTACAGAGTTATAAAGCCATGAGGCATCAGAAGTTGATGAAAATATCAAACTTACGATATAATTATGTGATGTAACTGTTTCAGTGTTCAAATTCTGAGGGTGCAGTATGTCCTCATGGGAGAGCTCCTCCCGCCGACGCAATCCACAGTCCACTTCATCACGACTTCGTATGGATTCATACAGCACTACCAATAGGTTGAGCCGAAACAGAGGTGCAAGTTTTTTCCTCTTGTTTACATTTTTATAACTACTCATTCATCGCACTGATTTAAAAGTCACACACACCTGATAATAAAGCCCTCAAGTGACATGTAACTTTAGGTTTTGGTTATGCATGTTACATTTTTATGGTTGGAAAGCAGTAAGAGTTCTTTTGTTAATATTCAGTGACATCAGAAAAGTTGACCAATAACACCAGACAGTTCAGTTGTTATGGTTATTTGCAACTGTAATCAAATTGTGGTAATGACATTTCCTGTGCATCTTATAAAGTAGTTGTACGTTTCAGGTGTTATAACATTTTTACACCACATGGAGTATCATTAACATTGTAGAATTGTAGACGGTGCAGTCGTGTGCTACATGTGAGGGTGTTTCAAAAAGTAACAGCAAATTAAATATTTTTAGATACAAATAATATGTCATTTTTCTACATAATCACCCTCATTTTCAATACACTTCTCACACCGTTGCACCAACTTCTTTATTCCATCAGAAAGAAATGTTTTTGGTTGTGCCTTCAGCCAGGAATGCACCGCCTCTTTGACCTAGTCATCATTCCCAAATCTTCGTCCTCTCAAAGCGCCCTTCAGGGGTCCAAACACATGATAATCAGAGGGAGCAAGGTCATGGCTGTATGGGGGATGCTGTAAGATCTGAAATCTCAATCTCTGAATGGTTTCAAGAGTTGCAGCAGCCGTGTGAGGGCGTGCGTTATCATGGATGACCGGAGCGTTGGTCGTCACAGATTGATATTCGCCCATTTTTAAACGCATCTACCCACTCTTGCACTCTTCTCTCGCCAACGCAGGCATCTCCATACTGTTACAGCATTCTTCTATGAATTTCACAAGGTTTCACACCCTCCGACCACAAAAATCTGATGATTGCTCGCTGCTCCTCTACGGTGCAAACAGTTGAGGGTGCCGCCATTTTGTATATGCATCCCTTCCAATTAAGAAAGCCATGCCATCTATTGGGCAGTGTCAAAACCTTCTCTAAGAATGTATCTTCCCTGCGCAGGAGTTTGAAATGCCTGGGGTATTCATTTCGTGAAATATTGTCAATTTGCTGTTACTTTTTGAAACGCCCTCATACATGTTTAAATGTGTTCTTGTGATCTTTCATCCCTCATTGGTCTTCATATTTATTTATTGCAGATAAAATATGTTGTTGACTGAGCTAAATAACGTCATTAATTCTGATGTTTACGAAGCTTATCAACAGTACCTGTATATTATGTAGAGGCAGGCATAATTTTTAATTGTTTGAGGGTAAGACAAATGTGGTAAAGTTTAATTTGAGCTTAATGATAATAGCAGACCACTACATACTAAAATGAAATCCCAATGACTGCTTTTAGTGTTCTCGTCCGATATAAAATAGTATTGAATATTTTTCGAGAATATACAGACAGGCGCATGTGACCTCCACATTGTGAATTCATTTATAGAAATGTATGCAGTGTACATTTAACATTTAAGATGGAATCAATTCTGATTGTTTGACTTGACACGTGACTAAATCCGGTTAATAATTGCTATGCTTATTAATCCATTAAATGAACATATTTGCAGTATCTCCTCCAAAGCGACGTGAACTGGACAAAGTAATGAAGAAAGCACGGCGTGATGGACCTATGCAGAGCAGTTACTGGAATAAGAAGCTCTTAGAAGTTGAAGAGAAGGACCCTAATAGGTATGTTTAGCCTGTGCTAATTGGCATTAATGCAAGCTGGAATTTGAAATGAAGGTAACAGAGTTAAAGTTCTTCCAAATTAGGGTTAAATGTTGTATTGTGGATAGTTTTTTTTTCCAGAATCTGGTTTAATGTTATTGCAAACGGAACAGTTGTGTCAAAAATGAATTGTTTGTGTTGATGTTTATTAAAAAAATTTCTGTAGTTATGCTGTGTGTAGTATTAAATGACCAGTTAAGTGGAAGGGATTTGGAGCTATATTGGGTAAATATGTTTTGTCATCACATATTGACGAGTGTGTTATTAACTAGTTTGTTTTTGTAGGATTTCATTGCTTTTCATTGTTAGAAACATATTTTTTCAGTCAAGTTTATTATACTGAAATTTTAGTGCATAGTGTTGCATGATACGATGAATAACTGATAGGAAAAATAAAAATGGAAGTGTTCATAACCCAATTTGAAGCCCAGTCCGTAGCCAGTCACTATACCGACTGAGCTACGCCGGCTCTCGTTTACCGATTGTAGGGAATTAAAAGGTCTGAATGTCAATATGACTAATGATATGTTATTCATGCCATGTTTAATAGAAGTTTTTGTTTGGTTCAAAAGTTATTTGGCTTACTTTTATTGTATAAGGAAAGTATGTTATAAAGAACTATTTCAACCCAGAGGAAGGCCTGCTTTTCTGTTAAAAAATGTTAGGGTGGCATGGTAAGATGTGCTGCAACTACCTCAAATGAGATTCTACTCAGTTTACAAATAATTGAAATTGTATCATCTGTCAACTTCATAACATTTGCATAGAATGTGAAATGATAGAAGAAGTGTGGCATAATGTCAAGTTGTCCATCTCTTTTCATTTTCGTGATTCAGATGGCGGCACAGTGGATTCAAGGAACTGTATGGTGGTGGAGGTGGTAACTCATCACCTCATGGTTCCCGTTCTAGTCACAAGAGATCTCGTAGCCGGTCACGTGGTGCTACGCGGAGTAGCCGAACTCGAGTAAGGTCTCCTCCGCTTCCTGCAAGACCTCGATCAAGAACCAGGGAACGAGACAGAGAGAGGGAGAGATCTAGGGACCGTGACAGAGATCGAGATCGAAGACCACACACGCCCCAGCCACAAACTCAAAAGGTAGAATTATTAGTAGTTCTAAATTTAATACCTGAGGTTGCTGATCAGACTATCAGAGATTACTGAATATAATATTGCTGTAGACAACTTAAAAAAGCTTTTAGTAGTTAATTGGAATAATCGGTAATTGCTTTTGGCTGTGTATTTTCATACTGTAGCATGTAATAGGACGTGAGATGGTTGCTTACTAGTACCTAAGTAAAGCCAAAAGTATGTATGTGTAATACTGGTTGTCCAGAAATGTAAACTAGAAAATAATAGTGAACTGTAATATTTCCACATACTATTTTTTATTTGTTCAAATAGTGTACATGGGAAGAAAACAATTGTAACTTGTAATTTTAAATTTATAATTTCGTAACTAATTTTAGGTATTAATTATAGGGAGTATGAAATCTGTATGTTTGTATGTTCGTCTGTTGGTGATCCAGTGTTTTCAACACTCTTGAGTGAAAAAATGTTTATATTTTATATTAAGATGTCAGTAAAATAAGAATCTAAAAGTATTCTTTAAGGGTGGCCACACACACTACAACTTAACGGAAGGCTCACGTCTGTGAAGGCCAACCTTCCGGCAAACTGGAGCGTGTGTGTTGAATTTGACCGGAAGGTTTGGCTGGAAACCGAGCCTCCGATAAATCTGCAGTCACTTGATTTTTTCCTTGAGGTTTACAGAATGTTTACAAGTCGTAACGTGTGTGGGATGAGGGTAAAGGCAAGGCTTGTAGCATTTAGTCTTCTCAATTAGTCATCACAGCACTATACAGCCTTGTTTGTTTCGTCAGTTTTTATGTTACCATTATTGGAGTGATGGCTAACATGAGATCCTGGCCTCATGAATTCATCTCCGAATTCATTGAGTTGTACAGGTCTCTGCCTTGTTTTTAATAATAATAATAATAATAATCCGTGGCGTAACAGCCCTCTGAGAGCCAAAGCCGACTAGCTGGCTGCTGGCCTCACGTTCACATGCCTAAGCAGATGTGAACGATCATCCACCCAGATAGAGGGTGATGTGTGGTCAGCACGACGAACCCCCAGCCATTGCTAGTTTTCATGACCGGATTACGCTACCCATTTTAGATCCCCAGTTTCCTCACGATGCTGGGTTGGCACCGATCGAAAATCTGAGGAGAAATTTCTTTCCCTGAGACTCGAACCAGCACACATTCCATTTCACCGGTCCAAAGCATGTACAATGTGAAAAGCAAGCATTATTCCAACAAGCACTTGAGAAACTCTGCGTATTTGAAGCTTGTAGAAAAAAATGCAAGAAGTGGATGGTACTGCAACAAACGATACTGTATTAAAGTGGATCAACAATATGCACAGTTCTTGCAGAAAATAGTTGAAGAAAGTGGCACGGTGTAAAAGAAGTGGCACAAGCAGAGAATTATACAAACCATCTCTTATGGTATTTCCACGTGTTGGATTTTCTATACGACCAGGAAATCCCCAGAGGCAGCATATCCAACATGCTGATTGATGAGAGTTGTACAGAAGAGGAGAATGAGGTAAGTATGAACAAATTATATTGGTAGCAAACAAATATATATTTTCAGACAATTTATTATAATAACATGTAGCTATCCATAAATTAGAAACCCCAATTTTCAATGGGGACACTTCTCTCTCTGCAAAATTCAATTGTTTTTAAAATATTCCAGAAATAACTCTCGCACCTGTTTACCTTCTTCACTGCTGTTGATTATGTCCTCTCTGCATTGGTGTGAATACTTCTGAACTACTTGAACTTGCTCCATCATCACCGTCACTGAGAAAGTCGCTGCAGTAAGAAGTGGGGCATTTTTTGCGCAGAAAGTTATGCAAGGCGCAAGCACCCATCACGATTGATTCGGCATTATCTAATGAGACCCCAAATGCTGTATGAAACACTTGAAACCGGTTGGCCAGGATTCCAAATACATTTTCTATAATTTGCCTAGCACTGCTTAAGCACTTATTGAAATGTGTGTGGTCAAGATTCAAGTCCTTTTCACTGTACGGTTTCAAAAAATCTTTTCGAAGGGCAAATGCTTCATCACCAATGAAAATGTAAGGAAGATTATTGTTGTCATTAGCAGGTGGTAATTTCAATTTACCTTCCACTAGTGCTTCGTAAAATGTTGTATTTTTGATAAAACCACCGCCCGAAATCCTTCTGTTCCAACATCAAACAAGATAAACTCATAATTGCTATTAGCGATTGCCATCACAACTATTCTGTGAAATCCTTTGTAATTCCAAAAATATGACCCACTTCCATGTGGGGGAACAATTCAAATGTTTCCTATTGACTGCGCCCAGACAGTTTGGAAATTGCAGTCTTTTCTCAAATTGCAATCCAATTTCTTTCCATTCTTCCTTCGATTCAGGAAACTAAAAGAAAAGTGTATTAAAATGTATATTCTGTTGGTTTTTGTTTTATAAAAGAAAAGTTCATTAACGTGTATACTTCTTTCAGGAAGAAATTAAAAGCAACGATGCAGCTGAATCGCAGCCGCCGTCACCACCAATACTGAATCCATTTCTTTCTCCAAGTGCGTCAAATACGCCTATATCATTAGATAGCAGCACATCGTCTACAAGCGGCAGAAAGAGGAAGATTCAGCATACCAATAAACAGGACATGGTACTGAACCTGGTAGCAGATAGGCTGCAGAGTTGGTAGCATACTCCAACTACGGTGTGCATATTGCTGAAGAACTTGGTAATTTACCACCTATGATGGCTGCCTTCTGCCAGAAAGTAATTAATGATGCAATTTTTGAAGCCAAGTGTTGTAATCTGAACAAAAGATCAAGAATAGTGACTGAACAGGAAGAAATATTTTTTCAACACACGATGCTACACTCGCAGCCATCAATAGATTCCTGACAACAAGAATCTTTGACAACCTTGACAGGAACTTCCTTTCAACATTTTACACTGAATGAATGAATGAATGAATACCTTCCATTACCCTCATCCAACACCGCTTTACACAGCTTATATTTCAATAAATATTTTTGTTCCAGTGTAATTGCAGATATCCAAATAAATGTTTATGGCTTACCTTGCAGTATTCTTTTTGAAGAACCTTGTAAATGGCTAAGCATGTTTCTGGAATAACTTTCCGTAGTGCTTGTGCTGATTTGCCACCGAGAACTTTCAAACCTCGTAATAGTGCTTGTGCTGAAATTGCCACCGAGAACTTTCAAACCTCGTAGTTTCTTCTAGTGGCCATAAACCTCAGGGTAGCGCACAACCGTTCATGCGGAGAAATTGCTGTTCTCAATATGGTATCTTTCTTCCCGATAACTGGAGAAACTAAGTTTAACAGCTCCAAATATGTGTCCTCATCCATTCGCAGGTAGTTATGCCAGTCTGTCGGCTCTAACCGAACTTCATTCAACAAATTTATGTGAGAATGTTTTGATCTATCTAACCAACTTCTGACCCATTTAGAACATTTCAGCTTTCTTTTCTTTTTCAACATTGAAGAAACAGCAAGACCGATTAAAACCACATCATCTTCACTGAACATGTAGCATCAACTGAAGAATAAAAGACTGAGCACAAAACTGCCACAAAGTCTGTACGTGTGTGGAGTCTCAGAGGTTTGAGGCTTACCTTCTGACTTTAATCTTGGAAGGCAGGCCTTCCAGTAAGTCGTAGCGTGTGTGGCCACCCTAAAACCATTTCATCTTGTCAGCATATCCACATTACATAAAAGTCTAGCATAAAACCTTCATTTTCAATGGTTGTGAGACCCAAACGTAAAATTATAGTGCCATTTTATAATTTTTCAGTCTTCAAGTAGCCAGTCTGTAGACTACAAACTACAGAAAGCAATCTTTACTCTAATACCAACCACCTTCCAGGTCAAATATAAAAGACCTATCTTAGATCAAAGGGTATGGTAATGATGCTGCTTGGTCAGAGTAATTGCACATCTAAATGGAGCAATCGTGGAACAGTGGTTAGCAGGGGAAAATGAAAGAACTTGTGGAAAAACCTGCTCTAGTACCACTTCATCAGCCACATATCTTCCTTGGAGTAACCTAGGTCTCTGTGATGACAGTCCAACCTGAGCTATAGCATGACCACAACATAGCTTGTTTATCTAAGTGCTTCTTTCCTGTCTTATTTAAGTACTGAGTGGCTGTAAAACATATGTCTGATAAATAACAAGCATTTTGAACCAAATCTAAATCTACGTTTTGTCCAAAATATGTGCACACAAACAATCCTTTGCAATTTCTTCTGTAGGGTGCTTTCCTTTGATTCCCATATAACTGTTGTCTCCATATGCTTTACTTTTTGTCCTTCCATTATTATTCAAGTTAAATTATCATGTTTAAGTTTTTTTTTTTAGATATTGTTAACTTATTGTCCTTCAAAGCAGTACTGAGAGGGAATTTTGATTGCAGTATAATTTTGGAGCACAACTGTGTTTCAGCCCCAGTCACAGCAACCAAGACGACGTACGCCCAAGATGACATCACTGACACCTAGCTCCCGTTCACTCAGCTCATGCTCAGACGAGTCTTGTTCTGTATGCTCACCTAAAGGCAACAGGAAGGTAGTGAATTCACCGGCACCTGTGTCTAGTAGAGCTAGACAGCCAACGCCTCGGTCTAGGTGTGTGTGTTGGATGAGTTACCAGTGTTTTATTAACACGGTTTACACATCGTTAAGTTCTTATTTTTCTTCTTATTACTTATTTAAATATGGTATACCATATTGATGCACATCACACTTTTTACTCACAATATGGCTTCAAATGCACCTTCTTTATGGTAACGTATTTCTAGTATCTAACCCACTAGTTAGATAACTGTGCACCAAATCCATACAAAAATTTAGAATGGCAGAACTTGAAGGAAATAGTACTGTAACAATAAATCACTGGTTAACATGCTGGATTCCTTGTCTGAAGTATGGATTTATTACTCCCATGATAATTACAAATAATTATTTGGGTATGGTAGGTCTTTACAGTTACTAATCACAAATCTTGCCCATTCAGTCTTCTGCCTAGTCTCCACACTTGTATTAATTGTTCACCTTTGAGGTCAGACACACTCCACACTGTCTTTCTTTCCCACTGCACATTTCTGTGTAGCTCTTTCAATAACTAACTGCTTTAACAAACCATCCCAGAATTTGCTGGGAGGGACTGAAGAAAACAAAACCCCACAGTCAAGAGGATACTAAAGTCACATCATCATGATTTCTAGTTGCAGGCCTCATGCAAGAAAGTAAAAAATCTCAGATGGTGCTGAATTCAAATTGCTGCCAAATAGCTACGTATGAAATTTCAAGAAAATGCAGTGAAAATGGTTGGAAATATTAAAAAAAGTTACATGCAAAACCATAACTTGTGGCATGTGATATTGATGAACTAAAACATTTATGCAAAGATTCCAACATAGCGAAGATTTCTGTCTTCTGGGTTGTTGCGCTGTGTAGTCTGGTTGATGGTTTACATCGACCACACTACACAGTGTAACAACCCAGAAGATAGAAATCTTTATACTCACCGCTGTGAAAACCTCAAATCTTACATTCCAACATAGCATTTTATGAAAATTCATCAAAAACAAGCTAAATACTTACATACAGACAATAACAAAGCTCATGTGCACTTTTCGTTGCAGATGCGCCTAATAAGACACTGACAGTAATTTCTTACATAGATTGTAGATAGAGTTCCTGGAAAATCACTTGTGCTAATCAAAACGTCCAGTAGATGTAATGGATTGGAGATCTTTCTGTGTTAATCTATGGAATGTTATGTAAACCATACAGGTGTGATTATTGATGACCACAGTCTACACTAAAATAAATTGTCCAAGTGTATTTTGTTTCATATGTATGCCTACTACCTAATTTTGTTAACTCATTGAAGTTCCCTTTAGCTGTATCACTGACCTCATTTTGAGATTTCATGTTCTCATGATGGGGAGAATGAAGATGGCTGTCTTCTGAATTATGCTCTGTGTTGTCTGGTATAAGTTTACTGAAATTTCAGAGGTTTCTTGCTGCCTCTTCATCATCCTGGTAATGTAGGCAGCAAGCTCATCTGAAACGTCGGTGAACTTCTACCAAACTACATGGCACAATATCCCAGAAGACAGCCATCTTTTTACCTCAGTTTCTTTACGTTATTTCTTTATTGATCTGTTCTGGAGCTATATCACCTAAAGAAAAATTTTCTAAACGTAAAGTTTGGGATTACTGCTCGTGTAAATAATCGCCACATAAAACAGATACAAGCCTCCTTTCAGTAGCTAGTTCTTGCGTCATTTCCTATCATATAGTCAAAATTGCATTTGTAATACTCAAATAATATAATCACAACTGGAAGTGAATAACTCACAAAAATCCCATAAGTTGATAACACTGTATCTTGACTTTTAAACAAAATCCACATTCAACTATTTTAAATTGTTAATAAATTGCTGGCATATGGCTGATATTCCAGTTGAGAAGCATTACAGTGACAGTCTGCAAAGAAGACTTATGACCAGTTCTAGTTGACATATTTTTGGGTCATTGCATTAATTATTCTGTTGTAACTCTTTTAGGTCCAGATCATTTTCTGTGCCAAGAAATCGTGCTAACAATCGATCACCACTTCCTTCAAGGAGTAGCTTAAGAAGGCAGCGTGAAAGGTCTGGACCTCCTAGTGATCCACGAGGGCCACCTCCAAACCCACCTCCGACAACACGAAAAAGTCTGAAGACCAAACGTAAAGGAAGTAGAGACAAAGTGAGTTGCTTAATTCTACCTTCTTTATTATTATGTCTAGTTTACATGGGGCATGTCAGTTTTCTTCTAACTACCGTAGATGTTTAGATGTTTGTCTGTGTCTTTCTGTGTTTTGCTGTCCTGTATAGGTAGAGGCCTTGTGATGGGCTGATTACTCGTCGAGGGAGAAACCTCCCATGTGTGAGGAGGCCAAGGTCCTTGAAGGACTGTAGGTCCAGAGATCGTTGGAAATACCATAAGGAAGATTGGTAGAATTGCACTCGTTTTGCAGTTTTCTTTACATTTCTACATTTATTCCATTTTCTGAAAATTGCTAATGCCTAATTTGTGTCAGATATACAGTTGTTCTATACAGGGCTTTAAGAATTCATAAATGTAAACTTTAAATTAAGTACTAGTGCATTTGTGGAAGAATTGTGCAGAAAAGTGTTTAACTTTATTACTAGCAAATACGTGCTAAGGATTGTCATTGCATATCCCTGACAATTCCCTTTCTGGCATTGAATCTAATATGCCGTTGATATTGCATTACATATGGAAATATTAAGCAGTTTCACATTTGTGTTCCATTGAAGCAATAGAATATGGTTTATTAGTAGAAGAGATTAAGGTAGAATTGGACAAAACTTATGCTCAATGTAGCTGAAATGTATTTGCAACATCATAGATGTTTCCCTGCCAAGAACAATGTTCTTTGCCTGTGTAGGATTTGAGGTTTTCATGATGGTTAGTTTGAAGATAGCCGTCTTCTTTGGCTATGTTTAAATACATGTATGTCTACAATCTATAGTGATAACCCTAGCAACAATTTAAAACCTTACTACCCAGCATGAACTATGAGATATAAAGCATTTTGTTGTATCTGGAAAGTTTAGTGATTTAACAAGGTTTTGGAAGTAGGTCTGTGACTTTAGATGGGTATTCATGGTAACAGCATTTATTGTGGAGGATACCATTTAAATTCATGAGTGAATATTATAAACAGTTTTGGTTTTTTATACACTTTTCTAGGCTGTATTTGCAGATATTGAGTCATAAGTAATTGCATTGATGCTATAAAATTAAATTTTGGATAATCATTCTTTCTGGGACTAGTTATTCCAACAGATTTTTATAATTTGTGTATTGTAATGGTACATAAATGTGTTCAGTTACTTGACATCTGAGATTATGTGAATAATTATGTATTGACAGCTAAAATTATATGCTGCTGGATAATGTTTCTGAGCAGTGATGAATTTGGAGATTTATCAATGATGTGTAACCATAGCATGTTTAGAACAATGGAGTGTGTGAACTGCTATGACTCTTGTGAACAGGTGAACATTTGTGAACTTCAGACATTTCAATTGCAGGTTTAGTGTTAGGCTAATCATGGAATAAAACTCACTTTCATAATTTTGACTATCATTCTTTCTATATGATTGGATTTTGAACCTCGTACTTGCAGAGTTCTAGTAAAAAGCAGAAAAGTGGTGGGAGCAAATCGAGTCGCAGCAAACGACAGCGCTCTTTACCAGTGGCAGAAGGCAGCAGTAGTCGACGACATAGTTCACCACCAGTTTCCTGTTCAGATGAGAGTTCAACATCGTCTGTGACATCTGGTGGTGGTGTACCAAAACTCACATTATCAGAACGCTTTGGTAAGATGGCACAGTGGTCTGTAGACCGAAGGGACTTGGATGGGGTGAAGAATATGCGCATTACAAAGGATTCAGATAGCTCAGATCTGAAGGTTGTTATTGAAGGTGAACGGTACCATAGAGCACTTAGTCCCATGCCAGTTAATGAACGCCGTGTTGGTGCAGGATACTTCCCAGAATCCCTCCATACTGGACCAATAGGTTTGGATGCCTGGGATGATGTTAGGGTTCGGTATAAATATTACAAAGATCGTGGTTATCTTCGTGATCTCACACTTGATGACTACATGAAGTGGGAAGAGTGGTGGTACAAATACCAGGAGTGGCTGGAAGCAGAGAGGTACTATGAGCACTGGGCAGCTGTTAGGGCTGAACAGGCTGCCCGAGGGGGAGGCAACAAGTTGTGGAATGATCAGGGCCTTAGGAAACGTAGGAGATTGTAAATTAGGATATGTTCACGTATTTGCCAAGTTTTTCTCGAATAAATTTCTGTTTATAAACGCTTTCTCATTGAGTACTGGTACATTTAGAAACAGTTTATATAACTTGAATCTGGATGTTATGAGGAAGCAATAGAGAAACACATTTGTATGCAATGAGATATTTCTTTGGATACACTATAATAGATAATGTTTCTGAATAAAATACCAGTTAAAATCTGATTTTAGTTTGCTTTCTGCTTGCCTACATTTTTCTTGTTCAGAGAATGTCTGATGATTTCATTCAGTTCATATATGAAAGATAAATACATTATGGGACACTGCATGTCTATCATCTGCTCATAATTTTCTTGGCACACGTGAAATATGTTTAATTTTGTGAGAGAGTTAAAGTGTATAGAATCTCTGCTTGGTAGATTATCGCCATTGTTTATACCTATGTTGTATTATGTTAACGAGACTGCACTGTCTGGATGTCTGGGATGTGTGTAGAAATGAATGCATTGTGTAATTTTGACAAGAAGTCTGTAGTTCAAAACCTGTTTGGAATAAATCTTTCAGATCTGTACATAGTAAGTTTTTGCATAGGATCTGAAATAATTCTTCATCTGATATTTAAAATTGTCTTGGACTGGGTTTCGTGATAATACTCCTTCTGGATATCATGGAATATTGAACCAGAACAAGTAGAAGAATCATTAATTCTAAAGGGTTCTGATGATGGTATATTGCAATTAGTGTTTCCAGAAATGTTTGTTCTGTTTGGAATACTAGATGACTGACAATATTTAGGAACTCTGTAATACTTCAATAATGATTATTTACTGAAAGAAATATTACCATCAGGAATTTATTTGTTGTCTGTTGGTATTTTACTTAGGCAGCTCATAACATTATATGTGTGCCATTCTGTAGAGATTTGTAGTACAGGTTGTGCTGCACAGAAAAAGTAAGTGAATTTCTACATTCTATTTGAATAATGATATTATTGTATATACATACATTCATGTTGTATGTTAGGGTTACCGTATTGTCTAAAATTAGTTCACAGTGCAGCATTCTTTTCAGTGAATTTTCTGAATAAACGTTATGTTTGGATAGAAATGACTGACAATCTGTGAATTCAGTGTAATTTAGCATCAGAATACTATTTGTCTTGATCTAATATATTGCCCCTTCACATCACCCAACTTGCTGATTATGAAATTCAAGGTACTGTTTAACAAGAATTTGAACTATAAGATGAAAATATTCTGATGACAATCATTGCTGGGACCAAAGCTCATCACACACACCCTTAAACTTCCGTAATTCCCCCAGTACTAAATATGTTGCAGAATAAAGTTACTAGTGATGTGATGCCAGTATCATGTCCGTTTTCAATTGTGTAGATGAAAATCTTTCAGAAGTAGTATTTTATAGCAAAACTGGCACATCAGGCAGTGAACGAAGTGATGGGCAAGCAGCTTCATTTGACAGTGGGTTGCATGATGTGAAACAGTAAATGAAAATCTGGTTCCTGGGAATCTCCTAGTGGCATGATGTTTATACCAAATTTTTTATCTTATTGCTTTGTATATGAGCATGTGTGCAAAGAATACATAACCATTATCATACAGGAATGGGATTTAAACCCCTATATGTTGGGGTTGCTGGCTGGATTTTAACTTTGTGGTTAAATGGTTTACCAGTATGCTACATTGACTCACAGCCAGCTGGATTTTATATAAGGCTTGGCCACAGCTGATAAAGGATAATTTACATAATCATATAAATATCCAATTATTTCTACACTCATGAATATTGTTGCAAACAGGCTGTGTGTCACTTATTCAACAAAAATGCATTAGCCTTCATAAAAAGTAACTCTTGTGTCATTAATATAATTTATGTTACAATTTAATTTGTCAGTCCACAAAAATTATTTATACTAAGATTTTACTGTACTTGTTTACTGATTGTAACTGCAGTGTGCTACTAATAGGATATTCTCATTCACTACATTTTTATCACATGTGATATTTACTTGTTACACAAGCTTGTAAGCCTGTGAGGGCACATGTTAATAACTCTTAAATCTCAATGAAAATCTGTATGTCTGAACAGCATGAAGAGGGTGGTGGTCAGTGAACTAAGTCCCTTGATATTATTCCCTTCCTCCTGTGAACTGTTCATAGGAAGTCACTTGTATGTGTAATGTATTGGCATGAATATAACTCTTACACCATCTATATTGTGGTAAGTTTTCACCTCTCTTTTATTTTTTGAAACGATTGGACGAATCTAAAAGGAACTGGAACAATTTGAGAAATCAGAATATTAAAATATGTTCTGAAAGAAAAATCTTCAGTAAAAGAACACTAACATGGCAGTTACAATTACAAGAGGTTACCGTTACCAGCAACAAGAGAATATTGTAGTTTGTCATCTGCTTAAGTATTGGTTTGTGCTCACATATTCTTCTAATGTCATATTTTCCATAACCTACAAAAAACAATCTCAACAAATCTGAGTTTGTATAAATGATTGCTGTAATAAAAATAAACTTTAAAATTGACTAGAATTAGAATCGGGAGGAAAGTGACAGCAATGATTTGGATATTTAAAGAGATTGGATAGAGCAAGGGTACTGAGAAGAGCATTAGAATTAAAATTTAAAAGTAAGATTACCATGTAATGACTCAAAACAAGAGAGTTCTGTCAAGTACTAAGAGGGCTTCTAAAAGAGAGGGCAATGAACTAAAAAGGAAAGATTATGAGAAGATAGAAAGTGGAGACTTTTCATCCATCAACCAATATAAAATTTGAATGATGCTAGAAGAAGAAGGCATGAAGTACATTTTCAGAACACGTTTATATTCATTCTGATGTTGAACCTTAAGATCTCTGCCTTTGCTGCTTTAATAGAAAAATATTGAATGTTAACTTCATTCCAAAATAAGTCTGCCATGTTTACAAACAGGATTTTTTGCTTGTAATCATTCCCTTGAAAATGGTTTCAAGAATTCATGACATCATAGTCTCATTGTTACTAGATTGTGATGCATGGATTAAAATGTGTGGCTGTTAAATAGTGTATTTCACACCATAACCAGTATTTTCTCTTAACTATTTCTGTGCTGAAATGTCTTTTAAAAGAACAGATCGTTTGTTTCATCATTATCATCAGCCTTCCATGTTTTCAGCCCAGTGGCCTGTTACAGTCTGTATGTTTCCTTTCCTGGTAATTACCACTGCCATGGGTGAGAAGCTTTCAGGAGATATCAAGACTCAAGATATGGGAGGGCAAGAGGTATCTTCTGGTATATGTTCATTTTCAAATTAGATTGCATCATTTACATCATGTGCATTTAAGAAAGAAGTATTTTCAGTCTTTATACTGTTCTTCAATTCATTGTAGTATTATATTTGCTTCAGTATTGGAAACTTTTTTACAGGATGTACCTTTTAAAATGCAACCTAACAATAATCGTGTTCTACAGCCCAAAAATGAAATCAGTAACAGGCCCAACTCCATGTTATAGACTTCCCTGTGAAACTCGGTTCAAGGTCGCCATGGTTTCCAGGCCACTGCTCACACCAGTTACACAAAAGCTGGGCAGGTGTGAAAATGGTGTCTCCACAAGCAGAATATGTGTGAACACTACTTCACATTGGAATGATCTGCAGCTGTTCATGATGCATTTAGCAATGTGTATCCTGATGAAGTACTGAATAAGACGACAGTATACCGACTGGTAACAACAAAAATATTTGTGTTTCTTGAAGAAGGTGGTGAACATCTGCTATAAAACTTTTCTGTAAGTTCTTAATAAATAAAAACTAAAAAAAACTCATTTATCATGTTACATTGATGTCACCAAATCTTACAAATACTATTGTAGTGAGGATTGCATTTTAAATGATAACTCCTGCAGAAACAGAACATAGTTCCAAATTAGGCAGTGTCCTATTGAAATTACAAAATATGGTAACCCTAAATTACTGACTGCATATAGCATGTTTTTATATTCATGGAGTTTATGCATGTAGTTCAAGTGTTAAATCTCTAACCACTAATTATAAAGCTGCACTAATTGTAGATGGCATATTGTATTTGGTATCTGCTATAAACTTTGATTAAATACACCACTAAAAAGCAAAATGTTGGACATGTAAGATGTTTCACTATACTATTCATGGCTATTTATTTATTCATTCATTCACCTTCAGAGAGTTTCTTTCTGTACAGTTGCACAGAACACTTCCAAATTAAGCCCTATTGAAATGTCAATATGGTAACTCTAAAACAATGATTCCATATAGTGTTTTTTCATATTTATGGATTTTATACATGAACTAATTGTGTAGTTCAGGTGTTAGGTCTCTAATGACCAACGAAAAAGTTGTGGTAATAGATGGTATACAATATTATGTATCAGTCATTTAGTTTAAATGTGTTACCAAAAGTGCAAAATCTTTGACATGCAAGATGTTACACTGTACTGTTCGCAAATATTTATTTTCATTGCTATTTATATGTTCACGATTGGAGAATTTCTTTCTGTACAAAAAACACCTCCACATCCTATTGAAATTTCAGAATATTGTAACTGACACTAATTGCTTATAGCAGTTTTATATTTATGGAGTTTAAACATGAACCAATTCTCTAGTTCATGCGTTTGATCTCTACCCACCAGTGAAAAAGCTGCATTAATAAATGGTATACAGTATTATGTATTGGCCATTTTGTTAAAATCTATTATTAAAAAGCAAAATTTTCAACATATAAGGTGTTACACTGCACTTTTCATAGATGTTTATTTCCAAAAATATTAATTTAGATCTTACATGTATATTGAAATGTCCGTATGTGTTTGTAATTGTAATAAATACTTTACACTGCAGATGACAATTTCCAAATTTTTTCATGAACTTCAATGAAAATTATATTCACGTTCTGCGACATTGCTCTCACTTTTAGTCCCTTCTACTCAGTACAGTATGTACCAAAAATTTTCTTGGTTGGTCAGCTGCATCAAAGCTGGATTATAATCTGACATCTTGGAGAAGTGCACAATCTCCAGCAATAGGGTCAGTGTGGTGAGTAACCATTAAGTTGCTGATATAAAAAGTGTGTCCCAAAAATATGTATGTACAGCAGCAACTTTGGTGGCCGCTTGTCAGTTGCTCACTGCCATCAACTGTGCTATGAAGCTAATTGTGGTTATCTGAACATTACACTAGATCTGCTAATTCACTAAATGCCATTGTTGGTGCACGTAATGGTTCAGTTTATTAAAATGTCTTTATTTCATTCAATGTATATCTTTTTGTTGGTATACCAGTCTGCCAATATGATGCCTCTTCCTGTTTGGTATGTTGGTTGATCAGGTTGCACAGTCAGTTTCATCGGTAACTCATCCCACTTCTGATCTCAGATCTTACTGCTTACCCTGAAGAATGATCTTCTGTCAAATAGTTTCTGTCTATTGTTTAACTTGCTGTTTTGGGGTGTTTTCTACTCAGGTGTATTATTTCTATCACCCCACTAACTAATCATTCCATATAACCTGATGCTTTGGTGGTTACTTCAGTCTTGTGTGGCCTGATTCAGTCCTATTTTCTGCTATTGCAGATTTTTTCAGTTGATGCTGGGAATGACCATTACATGGTGCGTATGTGAACATGTGAGGAAGGAGCGATGTTATCCCCACTTAATATAGGATTCTGAAATTATATATGGTAACAGATAAATGAAAATATGCAATTTTCATTTCTGCATTTATTTTGCAGAATGTAGGATCATTGTGCCTCCAGGGTCTATGAATTTAATTTTGTCATATTTTCAGTGCCTCACAGATGTCTATTGAGAGGATATACACAGAATGAAAGAAACAGTATTCACTGGCCATAGTGAAGCAGAAGAAAAGAGCCTCGAGGAGTTGACCAATGTCTATCCCTTGCTCGTTCCAAACACTGTCCAGTGTCAAATCATTTCAGGGTGTTCACCTACGTACACAGAAGCATCCATTTGATGACAAATATAGAGGCTTCCCATCTTACAGGCTTGAAACGTTGATTTGTTTTATTACAACACAGTGCCACGTATAATGCATACCACGAATCACAACCAGTAAATTAGTGGTTTACAAACTAGATGGTGTGCATAAAAATCATAGGAATGCTTTTAATTGTAATTGTGCTCCAAGTTATAAAGCACAATAGCTGCGATTATGTAGTATGGTAAGCGTAAAAGATTAGGCAGTATGAGCACTAACAATCTAGTGGTATTTTGTAACGAAACTGACCCAAGCTTACGTGTAGATTAGTAGCGACTTTTCTCAGACAAGAGCAATAAACACCCCTCTTCAAATGCACACTAAAGCAATAAAGTGCGAAGTGAGATTTCATGGGGACAACTATGTAGCTCGCTATTTTCTGGGATGTTGCCCCGTGTGGTCTGGTGGTTTCCGACATTTCAGAGGTGCTTGCTGTATCCATCATCAGGTCGACGCGGCAAGCATCTCTGAAACGTTGGCCAACTTCTACACCTACATGGAGCAACAACCCAGAGGTCATATACCTTAATAAAATGCTAGTAGATGAAAAAAATGTAAGTGGTCATTGAATATCGCATATTTCATAATTTACATCAACTTAATATTTCGTTTATGAGTCATCATAATTACTGTCAGCCGTGATGCGCTACTTATGAGGTGGTTGGATGATGCAATAAGTCACAACGAGGCACTGCCAAGTGAGTGATATAATTTTCAAAATGATATCGTTGATGTCACGATGTGAATTGTTAACAATGGAATGCACGCTGTTTCTATAAGTGACTTATATTGTGTATCGACTGTCACTGCTAATTAGTTGATTCGGTTTGGATCATGCTAAGAATTAGTTAAAGATGTTATGTTGGCGAAAATTGCCTGTTTCTTCTTTTTCTATTTTTGCCTTTGTTATTTAATCTGTGCATAGGAAATAATCTGTGTTACTACGAGTCCACTGGAGTCAACTGAAGTCTCCTTAGTACTTTTCAATTACCATAAGAGCAATAGATCTCAGACATTGGCTAGAGTTTTCTCTAAAAAAATACTTATGTGGGGATTTATATTTTCTATTCATTTGTATATTAATTTTATTTTCGTGAATACATATACCATAGTTCAATTGACCGCAGTCACGCTGCCCGTCATTTTAAACCAGAAAAATTGAACAGCAAAATATTTCGCTGCAACATAATTCACATTACTGGTTAACTATTTGAATTATTGAGAGGCATTAATTTGTTGAAAAACATTAGTTTACTCATATTATTCAGAGTAAGATTGGAAAAATGGCTACAGCTCAACTGCGGCGACTGAAAGAAGCAACAGATATGGTAAGTACACAGTACAGGGAACTGTATTATGAGAATATGGCAGTTTTTGAAATACATTTATTTGTTATGAATAACACAGGCTTTCGTATTTTTAATATAACTGCTGGTACCGGCAAATACCAGCTTATGCGTTGGTACCATATCTCCTTTGGGGAGAACGGGCAGCCTGAATTTAACTGTAAATATTATTTTTATCAATATGCCTTAATCATAAATGCAGGTTTAAAAGAAAATACTAGAGACAAGAAGAATAACAATTTAAATTCCCCCCAAATCCATATAAATGTAAATTTTCCAGAAGTTACTAAAATTTAATGCAGACCAGTTTGGAGGG